GGAGACAGGAGGGGTGGGGTGCAGGGAACCTGGAGTCAGGTTTGAGATGCCTTTTCAACATCCAAGTGGAGAAGTTAAGTAGATAGGAAACTATAGGAGTCTGGAACCCAGAAGAAAAAAAAAGAAAGAAAGAAACCATATGAAGATGGTTCCTGGGTCCTCCAACTCATAACAGATGGAAGAGCCAGGGAATTTGGCCCAGGACCTGCTGGGGAGTGGCAGGGAGGCTGGAGGACTGCCAGGACATGGTGGGCTGTGGCATCTCTGGAAGTGTTTCAAGAAAGAGAAAGTGATGGACTGTGACAGTGGCTGTTGAGAGTTCAAGTAAGATGAACACCGAGAATTGATACTGAATATGGCAAGATGTGAGCTGCTGGTGACGTTACAAGATGGTTTTAGGTATGGACAGGTTCCATGTGGAGGCATGTGGAAAGAGAGAATGTGTGAGAAGAAAGTCTCCAGTGAAGACCTGGCTTTAAGGGAGTTTTGTTATAAAGTGGGTGGGGGGAGACAGAGAGAAGGAGAGATTGTTGGAAGAGATGTCGGTTTAGGGAGGGTTTCTCATTCTCATCTTCTTCCTTTCTTTTCTTGAAGGATGGAAAGATACAGCACATTTGCCTAGAATAAGGGAGATGTGTGAGTGCAGGAGGACGGGGAGCAATGGGACAATCCTCGGGCAGTGAGGGCCTTGAAGGTTGGCAAGGCTGGACATGGGAGCAGGGCAGGCTGCAAAATCCCGCACAGGCTCCTGGAAGCTGGTGTGCGAGGCAGGAGGCAAGGTAGTGGGAATACTGGGGACTTGAGCAGTGGTTCTTTGTCAACCTGTGTAAACATATGTCTTTATTTTCACAGCTGGTGCAGTTGTACAGGGGCCCAGTGAGCTAAACACGAGGTGAGCAGAGTGGGGGTATCACAGAGGAAATGAGCTAGAATGGGAGGCCGTGGTGGGAGAGATTCTGCCGATGATTCACCTCCTGGCGGGGTGGCCAGGGTGAAGATGATTCATGTGGGTCAGAGGGAGAGTTCGGACTAGGAAGTTAGGAAACAGAGGCAAGAGGATACGTGGAAAGACATGGTTGAAGCTATCAAGAGTGATGACAGGAGTATGTGGTGAGAAAAAGACAGTGCGGGGGTGGTGCCGAACACCTTCCAGGAAGCAGGCAAAGTGACTAGTAGGAAATGACCAGGAAGAAAGGGCAGACAGTAATGTAATCTGAAGGCACGCTTTTCAGAGAGAAAATGCTTCATTTTTATGGAAGGAGAGGGGAGAAATATTCTGGGAGACTGAGGAGGTCCTTGGGGATGCAGGACCTGTGAGACAAAACCTGGCCCCTCTGGAGAGAGCTGCAGGGGAAGCAGCCCTGGGGGCGGGGATCAGTCTCTGTCTGAGAGAGAGGGTGCTGGACCATTTAGAGAGGAGGCCGAGGATTTGGGACATTTTCTGGTGACACCATGAGTTCCTAGTGTCCTAGTAGAAATTTGGGGGTCAGGAAGAAATGGACTTTTGGGTCAGATGAAGGAATGTTTTGAGCCATATGGGCACCATAACAGTGTGGAATACGCAGTGGAATCCAGCCCAAGCCCAGAGAGTCAGGAGCCTTTCTTGAGGAGTTAGGTGGAATGAAAACCCCACGAGAGCCCAGGAGCCCTGGGGCGGGTCCCAAGATGAGCCCGGGCTATAACATGCATCATCTAGGAAGCTACTCGCTGAACATGCTATCTCTGCCCTGCCCCTGGGAAGCTGGCCTGGGTGACAGTGTGTGTGCAGGGGTAGGGGGATGCTTTCCTTGTGAGGTAGCCAAGAAACATTGTGCTTATCTCCTTTCATCCTGTCTCAAAAGCTACTGCCATGATGCCCACCCCCATTCCAGCAGCGCTATTCACTACGGCCAGAAGGTAGAAGCCTGGGCTACTCACACAATGGAATATTATTCAGCCTTAAAAAGGAAGGAAATCCTGACACATGCTCCAACATGGATGAACCTTGAAGACATTATGCAAGTGAAATAATCAAGACACAAAAGGACGAATGCTGCAGGATTCCACTTATACGCGACACCTAGACTCATCAAATTCACAGAGACAGAAAGTAGAATGGTGGTTCCCAGGGGGCTGAGGGAGGGGTACGGGGAATTAGTGTTTAATAGAGACAGAGTTTCAGTTTCGAAAGTGAAAACATTCTGTAGGTGGTGATGGTTGCATAACAATTCAATCCAAAGCTCCTCTAGGGGCTTTGGCCTAAAAGGAGGAATCAGGGCAAGTGGTGACTTGAGGCAATGATGACCTCTCAGGGGTGACCCTGTGCAGGGCTTGCGCTGGAGGGCCTGGGTGCCTCTCAGGCAGGACATGTGCTTACTCATTTGCCACACTCAGATCTCACACGGAAACATCTGAATCCCCAAGGGTGATGATTTGCATTGGGTGGAGCTGGGGGCCCTAGGCATTTAGCTTAGCTTGGGGCTCAGCAACAAGGCAAACTGCTCACAAACAGCAGGCCTGGAACTATGGTTATTTTCCTGACCTCAATCTCAAATGCCAAATCTCAAAACTATCATTAAAATGACCAGATTTCTTCATTTAAAGAAAATAGTGTCTGCTGAACTCCATACTTTCACCCGACATTTGTTCAGGGCCAGCCCGAAGGCCTTTTTGGGAACCTGGCAGGGGAGTCTGCGCTCACAGAGAAGAGTAAGGCTGAGAAAATTCTGAACAAGGAAAATAAAAAACAGATGTCAAAATACACCAGAAAGATGCAGAACTTTTGAAAAGTGTAGTACCAACAAGAGAAAAGAGAAAATAGATTTGTGAATCCGAACAGAACTCAGAAGCACATGAGT